ATATGGTGATTATGTTTTTTAATTTTATCATGTACCTGTGGTTAGTAAATTTAATGTCAGTTAAAGTTTCTGTCCTGTCACCTTTTTCTGTTTTTAAGTAGGGCTTTATATAGATATAGCATAACTTTCAAGGCATGCAACTTTAAGTAATTAGGTATTACTGCCCATCCCATCTTGAACTACATTTTAAACAAAGGCATCTATAGTATCAAAAGTAAAATTTGAAAATTTGGGAATATAGCATGAGGGTTACCACCAGATATTCCCGGTTTTAACAGGAGCAAATCACATCAAGTAATGCATTAAGGCCAATCTTGCATGTCTTTGAGCAAAAATATTTGATAGATTACAATGCTTAATATCTTCATAATTCCCCAAAGCTTAAAAACACATACAAAAGAATTGGTAACAAGCACATCCCTATTTCCTGACAGCATGTGCTTAGATGATCATAACATTATTTTCTAACAGACTGTGAGTTCTAAAGAGTGGATTCCCTCAGTCTGTTGACTGTAATGGTGTTGTCTAAATTTTTGCCTTGGTTATGATCCATAATCCACTGATCTAACAATTTACTTATTGAAGATAACGATGCATTTCCCAAGTACTACTCAAAATTAATTCTTTCAGGCCCAAGTTATAACTGAACATGTTAGATCCTGGAATTTTGTTATTCATGGAACTGTTGGATGAGTGAGAAATGTTACAGCAAACAAATTTCTCATTTAACTATTTTAAAGCTAACTTCTCACATAAAAAGGGTAAATCCAACTTGACAATAGATTGTTACATCATACAAAATATGCCATGTCACTGCTACACCTGGATTTCATTCAAGTAGCAGACAAACCCAACAACAACAACAACAACAAAAACAACAACAATCACACCACAAACTAGACCTGGTAACATTACACACAAAATCCAGCAAACATAAGCTGTGGCAAGGGATATCATTGTCAATAAGAGTACATATCACCCTAAACTAGTGTCCATGTGATTATTAGTAATTCACCCTTTGATGGCCTATGTGACCCAGTATCAATCATGGGTCAAGTCGCAAAGGTCTCACACCAAACACGTCGGATCTTACAATTATTTACGTAATTGAAGAAATCATCTCCAAAATACAGATTTACGCAAATGGGTTCTTGGTGACGAAGTGACCCGACTTACCCCATATCACTTGCGATCGTTAAGTCTTGTCTCAGGTCGTAAGTTGAAATTCTACATCAACATGGTACTCCACGGACAAAGTTACAACATCTGCACTAAGGCGGTACACAATAAAGCAAAAAGGCACGAACGAAAAGCAGCAACGAACTGACCGCGTTCATGTCAAAGCATAGCTGTATATCAAGAACCTTTGATCGATCGCTCTTAAAGTTAGGTAAAGATTCACAATATTCGCGCACACTAAGACTCGGTCACTTTTTGGCACTCCCCATAATATGCTTACTACAACCTATTTTATTTGAAATTTTAACCCCCGATTGATCCCTTATTCATAAAACATGAAAATATAAAGAGAGCATCTGTCTTAGGAAGCGAAATCGACAACAATTCACCTATTCAATGGACAGACGTAGACAACTGAAATAACCCTTGAAAACCACCAAAAACCACCAAATCTGCTTTGGAATTTCGTAGCCTTCCGTCGAAACTTGAAAAGTCGGTTATTAGAAGGCGTGATGCTGAGAAGCTTGCTCGCTCAGTCTTCTCTCCACTCCATGCTTCCAAAATGGCGGCCCATTACACTTAAGTGACAATAAAATTTGACCAGGGTAGGGAGGTTACTACATTGCGGCGTGCAATCTGGTAAAATGTTTTAAAACGAGGCCAATCATTGCCATTTATGAGGGGGAGGGGGTAAAAAGGGTCTTCTTGATCTTTATCTTGACATCTCTGAGGTCTTAAGACAAAACTTCATTGTTTGTTAATTAGTATAGAAAAGAAAAAGTTAAATATACTGTTCTTCTGTGTTGCATAGATCTAAAGTGTGCAAATATTGAAAAATATTCTCCTGAGCAAAAAGTAGTATTTCAAACTCTCCTCCCTAGGCAAGAATTTCGTGCTACCCACGTTTTCCTGTTTTCGCTTGATTGACCTAAGACTTTTACTTTAACTTTCTCTTTGGATAATACGAGATGGCGGGGCGTTCTCCAAACCTTAAGGCAATTTTCAAGTAAGTTTGGATGATTTTATGTTAGTAATACACTTTAGGATGACGGTAATTTTATTCCAACGTAAATCACATATTTGTTTCCTTTTATACTGATCGAATGTTGCTTTAATTTCTTGCAAATACCGTAGTTACGTGGACGAGCATCAGGTAAGTGATCTCGCTTTTCTTTTAGGTACTTTAAGCCACTCGTTCCAAAAACTTGCCTTCATGACAGCGCCAGTTGTCTAAAATTATAAGAAAGGTGGTTACTGGTAATCAGGTCTCTTAAATCATCAATGGTTTTTTGATATTTTAACATGTATCACAGTAACTCTAACTGATGGAAGGCCACTGATTATTTGTGAGGGTGGAAGCGAGAAAATATAAATTCTGCAACTGGCTGAAATAAAGACCCTATGTCCAGTATCAGGGTACTTTTACCCTTAGGCAATCATACTCTAAGCTACTATACATTTTTTAATCGATTTTTAAGGAGAACTTGGTTTGACATCAAAATATTTCAACACCCTCTGTTTTTTTTGTTTTTTTTTTTATCGCCTGCTGTTTTTTTAAATAAGAGGAAGATATTGCGTAGAGAAGTTGCATGACAATCAATATTGGGCACTTTTCTGTGAGTTTGCAAAAGTTTGGGAGCACTGCACAGATGAGGGGCTTGGAAACTTGAACATGTCAACTTCACAAGTTATTTTAGTTATTGTGAATTGATTGACTGCTCTCAACCAATCAGACTTCTCCATGTAAGTCTAATGTATAATAACTTTATCTACAGGATCTTTATGTGCAAAGGCTCAGTGATGCTGTTGCAATTCAAAGTGTCTCAGGATGGACATATCCTCCATACAGAGATAATATTGTCAGGATGATCAACCAAGTGAAAGACGTATGTGCAAAGCATAGTTTCCTGTTATATCATGTGACCAGCCCTATGCAGGCCTTTGTTTAAAAACATATTGAGGCATGTTAATTGTGCTGGGCTGAAAAAAAAAAAAAAAGCTGTCTGACCCTGTAAGATCTAAGGCAAACAAAATAAGCAAGATAAAGAAAGTATAGGCATGTAATATTATTATGTTATGTTAAAATCATGTGATAAAATGTTTATTGACTGAGTTATATTGGTCAGGACAGGATGATACATTTTGTTCTTGGTCCTTTGAGAAGTAAAAGCATATACTGATTAAGAAAAAGTCTAAGAATAATTTCATGCCAGTTTTCAGGGTGTCAGGAATCTTTGGATCACGACTAACACGTGTGATTTTTGCTTCTTTCTGTTAAAATCAACCACACAAAAACTCAAATCATTCTATATTTTCAACTGATAATAACTTAGATCTCTTCTGATCAACTGGCACATTTTGCAGTTCACTTAATTACACCTTATCACTTACATCACTTTGTGCCATAAGTCAAAGTTCACTTTTCAGCATGGCGGTCACACAATTTTTTTTTTTCCAACAAGAGTAATGCTGCACAATTTCTTCAACAGGAACTGATAAGTCTTGGAGGTGAGGTTGAGTTAGCGGACCTCGGCATGCAGCATGGTGCCAACATTCCATTGCCACCAGTACTATTGGGAATACTTGGAAAGGATCCTGCCAAGAAAACAGTGAGTCACTATCTCATTAGTCTTCATTGTTGAACTGTCAATTTAAACTTGGAAGTTTAGGTTTGATATTTTTCTATCAGAGAGTTTTACCTGGATAAAGATTTAATTACTGCTCCTGTAGTTTTTTTACCTCCAGTTTTTAATTTTAATTCAGTTCATTTATCCATGATAGACTGCACTCCGTATATTACTTCATTGGCCTTTTAACCCATGTAGGATTTTTAAAAATTAAAAGAAAGTGTAGTCAATTGTTTCTGTTAAACTAGGCACTATTATTATAAGTAAACCAATTAAAAAATATATGGGTTTTAAACCACTTAGTGCATGCTTTGTATCTCTGTTTTATAAAGGTTTCCATTTCACAGTGAAGCACTTAAAGGAATGAAATAGTGGTACATATTTTTTTTATCAATTATTTTAGTGGTATTTGCCTCTTGCAGCTCTGTGTTTATGGGCATCTTGATGTTCAACCAGCAAAATTGGTAAGTACTATGTAAATTTTTTGGGTTGGTGGATTTGAGTAAATTGAATGTTATTCGAAGTCAGTTACCTGACATGAGCACAAGATGGGGTGGCTTTATTGAATTGAATTCTGAAAAAAGAAGATTGGTCAGACCTGTCTGGGGTAATTGTGTTGTGTTCTTGGCCATTTTTTTCTGGCTTGTGCATTTTTAAATGTGTCCACTTATATCTAGTTTATGATGGTTGCACTTTAAAAAGCATGGTAACAATTTTTTGTGCAAAGAACACCATAAAGGTATACTAAGTCCTTCAGATAAGATTGCTGGGGTCTGTGTTTTTCTTTC